TATTTAAGAGATAATGTTGCCCTGGAGGAGTGCACAAGGCAATAAACAGCTTTTGCAGGCAATTAAATGCAGAACTGAAATTGAGCCGCTGGTCAGTGAAACCAACCATTCATCGTGAGTTTGTTCCAGTGTCACAAATGTTATTCCTGTTTCACAACAGGACAGGAATCTATGATTGAGCCACAAATCTCCACAGGCTGGAGACAGGCCTAGAGAGATTAAAGCAGCTCTCAGCATGCAGGGCATTAACACAAAAGAGCCTTAGGATTCTGGAGCACTGACCTGGTAGACTGCTCTATTTATATATTTGTATGTATGTGTGTGTGTATATATATACACACACACACACATATATATATATATATATATACACACACACACATACATACAAATATATAGTTTTGCACTTAGTAGGTGCTCAGTAATTATTTGCAGCTCGCTTGATTTTATAGGGAGACTTATTACATGAAGTCTCACCTCTATAATTTCTTTTTGCAAATAATTCGATACCCTCACTACTAATCTCTAAGTCTAGCTTTAAAAAATTATGATCTCCACTAGAGTCGGTTTTTTGTAGGAATCGGAAAGGAGCTCTTTGTTGAAAAACATTCACACTGCTCCCGCAACATACACTGATACATAAAGCATCAAGGGAAGGAAGATAACATAAAATGGTGACTCATTCGGGTGAAGAGTTAGGAGGGAAGTAGGGTCTTAGCAACAGAGAGTCAAGAAGGTAGATAAAGGAGAAGCTGCCTAAGTTTCAGGCCTTTCCAGTCGAGTCAGTGTCAGACCAAGGAAAGATCCAGTCAGAAGAGACCAGTGCAGTGGTCCCCAAACTTTTTGGTACCAGGAACTGGTGCTCCTAAGAGAATCTAATGCCTGATGATCTGAGGTGGAGCTGAGGTAGTGATGCTAGCGATGGGGAGCAGCTGCAAACACAGATGAAGCTTTGCTGGCTCACCTGCCGCTCACCTCCTGCTTTGCAGCCTGGTTCCTAACAGGCTGTGAACTGGTATTGGTCCACAGCCTGGGGGTTGGGAGACCCTGGACTAGCAGGTGTGCTCTCCAGGTGCAGCTGCAGGACACCTTCCACAAAGGAGACACAAAAGCATGGCAACAAACAAGGGGGAGCCCCCAACTAGCCCTCTCCTGGAAGCTTCCCCTAGCCTCCTAGTGGAAGGCATTGTCCAAAGAGCAGAGCCAGGCACCTTCCTGAAACAGCAGAAACAGCAAGCGCTGGGCAAGGCCTGCTCGCTGCTCCTTATACCTCCGCTGTAACAACTCTGATTAAAAGATGAGCCATCCAGTTCCTATCCCTTAAACACTGATTGTAATTATTACCTGTAGATGGTCACTGTTTAATTAATACTTCTTTATAACATATGCATCTTAATAAACATATTTGTACCATTATAATCTTTGTCTATGCTTTCAGTTTTATATTTCCTACTTGGATCAAATTCTTGCCTAACCCTGATAAAAATTATTCCATATACATTCATACTTGGTCTACGTTCACATGCCATAGTCCTTTAATAACAACTAAAATGTGCCTTATGTATTCCCTACCTTGTTACAAACGGGATCTGAGGAAGCTAAATGAAATACATGTGAACAAGAGGCTGAACATTAAATAGATTTTGAAAAGAGCAAGGCCAAGTGAAAACAATGATTCATGAAATGAATTCACTACCACTGACATTGACACAACACTTCTCGCTATACACAGAAACTTCCACACACAGTAATCATCTTCTTTAGTTATTATACTGCCTTACGCTTCCATGCAAAAATCCTATGAAATTACTACTATGCCCACTTTTCAGACAAAAAAACTGAGATTCAGAGTTAAGTATTTTGCTCAAGGCTACACAGTTAATTCGCAAGTTAGAATTGAACATGGATCTTCAAGTGCCAGACTCCATGTTCCTCAAAGCGCACTATATTGTTCCCCTGACTAAAGTGGCCTGGTTTATAGTCCAGGCTCTTCTATCAGCTAGCTGTGGGTGCTGAACAAATCCCTCCAGCTCTGGACCTCAGTTTTCTCTGCAGCAGGAAGGGGGAGTGGTGTGAACTAGAACTCTGTAAGAGCCATTTCAGTTCTGATCACTGGACTGTCATTTTACAAACTGATAGCTAATGACTATGTTGGCTCTCGTATTTTTCATGTAAGAGTTTATTTCCCAGAAAACTAATTTTTGTGGGCATGACTACAAGGTTGTAAGTTTGTGCTTACATTTGGTTACAAGATTAATTCACAGATTCATAAAATGTCAGACTTAGAAGGGGTGGAGACGCTATATGGTAAAGCCCTCTCATCTCCATTGTTAGGATCATTTTTTATGTTATACACACATTGCAAGTATGCCTAGATGTGTTTTTCTGATAAACATATCACATTCACAGAAAATTTGTATGCAATTCAAAAAGCAACTTCCAAATATCAAGGAATCCAGCATATTTTAAACACTAATGGCCAAGATGGCATATTTCAGGAAAGCACTGGAAGCTCCATTCTCAGTCATCTGAAATAACCATACATTAGTACTGTTCTAGAAGTTCTTGCTTATTTCCAAGTTCCACAAGTGAAGGAAGAAAATCAGCAATGTTGAAGAACCCCAGTGAAAAGCAAAGGACTTAGGTAGGAATTCCAAGCCCTAAAGAATTAAAGAGGGCCTCGGTATTTGTGCTTAACTGATGGCCGTTACCACAGCTCTGAGTTTGTTGCAGACCAAGTATAACTGGACAGTGCTGAGAAACACACTCTGGGGCCAGAAAGATATAGATTCAAACTCCAGCTCTCCTGCTTGGTGGCTGTGTGACCATGGATAAGTCGGCCCTCTGAGTGCAATGTCTTCACCTGGAAAAAGAAGACAATACCATCTGCCCCCTAGACATGCTGGGAAGATTCACTGCTCAACAAATGATAACTACCACTACTGGTGTTATTATTTACTAAGAAGAATAGGCACCAACCACGGTAGCAGAGAAAGACCTATTTCTGCAAAGTAATTTGTTATATGAGAATATATTATCAACGGTGACTGGCTAGGAAATAGAAGGCCTTAAGCCCAGTCCTCCAGGAAAACGAACTCATAGGTTGAATAATGCCTCAGCATCTCTACTGGGCCTCAGAACAGTGACACCTCTCTCCAGTCTAGAAAGTGGTGGTTCTAGAGAAGGCATGAACAGCATCAACACTACATAACCCCCACAGGACAAAGAAAGTCTGGGCAAGTCTCTTCCTCCCACCTTTGCAAGCTGGGGGTATAAGAACCTGCCCTCAGGGGAATCTTTCCTTGCACACAGTGGCTGAGGCAGCCCTCTAAGACCAGGCAACACTGCCACTCAAGAGAGCCCGTCTCCTCTTGGCTATCCTATCAAGAGGGGACCTTGGTAAGGGACCTCCAAAGAAATCTAATACCTCTGCCATTCCCTTCCCAGGTCTTCCAGGTAGAGCAAGAATGAACTAGTGTGTCATGCACCATCTGCCATCTGCTATCATCTGCCATCTGAAAGATTTTGACAAAGTAGAATGTTAAATTTAGATTACTGACTCT